TGCCGTCCTTCATCCCCGGCTCCATCCTTTCCCCCTGTGCCGTCCTTCATCCCCCGCTCCATCTTTTCCCCCTCTGCCGTCCTTCATCCCCTGCTCCATCCTTTCCCCCTCTGCCATCCTCCCTCCCGCCCCGGCATCGCGCCCACGGGGCTCCTCTCCGCCCCGGAGACGCTCGGGCTGGGCTCGGTGGCTGAGAGCGAAATCGGGCTGAGGTTTTCAGAAAGGACTTTCTGCGGCGCTGCTGAGCGGCGGCGGCGAAAGGGGACAGTCATAACTGGTCCCCAAACCTGTCACAGGCGCTTTCGGGGGCGGGGGGACACAGTCATAGCGCGAGCCAGCCAGGGTGACACGGATGCCCCGGGCACGGGGACGACCCGGGGCCACCGGCACCGCCGGGATGCTGCGTCTGGCTCCGGCCCGTGGGATGCTCCAGCGCGGAATTGTTGCTGTTCCGGCTGGGAAAGGCAAAGAAAGCGACCCCAAATTGCAGCTTCAGCTCCTGGTTTGGGTATCCAACCCCCCCAACCCACCCCCCGGAAGGAAATGCTGGAGAACCGGGAGAAAACAGCAGCGATTCCAAAACAAGAGCTTCAGGACGTCACCAGCAGATTCCCAGCTCAAGGTTTTCCCCTCAAATCCAACTATTTGCACGTGGAGAATCTCCCTGGAGAGCAACAGGAGGTCTATGCTACTTCTCTCCTCGTGGGAATACACACCAGGATCAAACCAGCACTGGGAAAACCCATTTGCAGAGCACCTGCTCCAGCCACATTCCCAAAATCCGCATGCCAACAAGCACGTGCCTTCAGCCCGAAAATCCGACGGCAGGAAAGGAACCTCTTCCCACGGAGAGACCCGAAATACCACGCACAGAGTCACCCAACCCCTGCACAAAGGGTGAGTCTGTCGTGCCTGACTTACACTCCCAGCTGGGAATTCCCCATCCCTGACAATCTCTTCCCCTAAAGGCAGGATTAAGCCTCTTCCTCCAGCACAACCAAATCGACTCACCCCTCGCTCCTCTCCTTCCCATCCCCAAAAGCATCTTCCTGGATATGCCAGGCTGGCACTGCAACCCTTGTTCCCTTCCATCCCGGAGCATCCCCTCACTCTTTTTGCCTCATTTCCCCCAAAAAAACAGCTTTGGAAGCAGCTGGATGCATGCCCTGAACTGTCAGAAAGGCAGCACAGCCCAAAGCATCACTTCCCAAAACCTCCACAGCAACAGCTCTTCCTTACACAACCCAGGGCATTCCCAAGGGCCGCCTCCACCTTTATTTGCCCTCACTGAAACCTTTGGGGAAGGTTTTGAAAATGCAGAGAGGGACTTTTGAGGCAGAGCATGAGATTGCCATGCTGGAGCAGCCTTGGAGCAATTCCCCAATGCCCATGGGAGAGGCCGGGAGCATCCTGCTCGCAGGAAACGCCTGTTTATTTTAACCAAAATAATAATTACTATTATTGCTTGTGCTTCCGAGAGAAACTCTCCACCTTGCAGCCTCTGCTCACAACAGATAAAATCAGTGGGTAAAAGCACAACAAAAATATCCCCTTTGCTTCCTTCCCAAGGGACTGACCCACTTCCATGTGGAAAACTTCACGGCACGCGTCCAGCTGGACACTGCCAAGGCACAGGGATTGAGGAGGAGGTGTGCAGGGCAAAGCCATGGATATTCCCCAAGGAGAGCTGCATGGGAAGCCACAGCCCGAGAGCTGCAGGCCTGGATGGGGATAAAACAGCTCTGTGGCTCCACGTTCCCAGCTTAATCCGTCTGGGAGTATCCAGGAGTCCCGGTTAAACAGCACTGAGGATTTTCCATTCGCTTATAGTTGTTTAGGATGATGCCCCTAGCAACACTCACAGAGCAAAAGCTCCAATGAAATAGCTGATGAGAGCACAGGAATTTGAAAAAAAAAAAAAAAAAAAAAAAATCAGGGAAAACTTGAATTTCTTCCCGGAAAAAAAGAAACCAAAGCCTTAGATCTCCCGGCGAGGAATTCCGGGAGCATCCCTGCCCTGCCGTGCCAGGGCGAGGTTGTGAAACTTGAATTAAGCTGTAATTACTGCAGTAATGTCACAAAATCTTTCCTAAGGGCACGTTGCAGCCAGAACCACAGCCCGGAGCCAGGAGGGAGCAAAAACACCACCAAGCATAAAAGACGGTGTGTAGCTCCCAGAAAGCTTGGAGCTGGTGTTTGTTATCCCGCCGTGCCCTGGTGGAAGCTAAAAGGGTGGAAGTTCAAAGGTTTCCTCCCATCAGAGGGAATTCATCAGGAGAAGGGAATGCTGGAAGCGCAGGCAGCTCCCGCGGGCGGGTTTTCCCTGCTGGAGAGGCTTCACCTGGCAAAGCCACTGGTTAAAAAACACACCCCCGGCCGCCTCCGGGCCGCTTCCCAGCGGGATTTCGGGATGCATGACCCCAGCACCTCCGCCGATGGGAGACCGGCAGCGCCGCACGAGCCAGGAGCCACTTGCTTGGCAAAACACGCGAGGACGAGCGAGCCCCGAGTAGGAAGCTGGACTCAACAACTCTGTCCCCTCCTCCCCTGGCAGCGAGTGACCGAGCCCGGAAAAGAATAAACATCATAGTAATAAAAACCCCGGCGCTGGACGCGCGGGAGTTTCCCCGGCGCTGTGTTTGCTCGGCGGGCCCGGCCAGCTTCCACAAATCCCAGAGCGCCCGGGAGAGCCTCCAAGCGAGGGCTGCTCCCAAAATCCACGGGTGGGATGCGGGAGGTGCTGCTGCTGCCGCTGCAGGTGCCTGGCGTGGCTACCTGCGTTTTCCATCATTCCAAGGAAAGCCGAGGCAAGGAGCAGCAGCAGCAGCAGCACCAGCCCTGTGCTGGCACTGTGCGCTCACAGCTTTACTCCTTGGCACTCGCACCTGCACGCAAAACCTCACGAGAATTCCGTGTTTTCCAGGGTTCTGAGGAAAGCCCAGCCAGGTGAGGAGGGGAAAGCGAGGAAAGCCCAGCCAGGTGAAGGAGGGGAAGGCGAGGAAAGCCCAGCCAAGTGAAGAAGAAGGGTGGGAAAATCCTCTCCCGCACTTTCAACCTAACCACACCGCCTCACTTTCTCACACCCCCAGGAAAACCCGTGTTTTCCAGGGCTGTGAGGAAAGCCCCGCCAGGTGAGGAGGGACAGCGAGGGAAGCCGAGCCCGGCCGGTAGGAGGAGGAGGAGGAGGAGGAGGATGGGGAGCCGCGCCCCGGAGCTTACCCATGGCGCTGAGGCAGTGGCTGAGCGCCTGGCAGGGCGGGCTGGGGGTCTGCGTGGCCTTGTCGCAGCCCAGGGCGGGCGCGGGGCTGCGCTCGGCTTCGAACGAGAAGTACCCGCTGGAGGTGCGCGGCAGCAGCGGCGACCTCCGCACGAAGATGAAGAGCGGCGAGCGGGTGGCGAAGGGGCCGGGGCTGGCGGGCGGGCCCCGCGCCGCGGACACCGCGCCGGCCCCGGGCAGGGCGGCGGGAGCTCCGGGGCGCAGCTGCGCGCCCGGGCCCGGCCCCTCGGCCGCCGGCAGCCGCCCGCCCTCGCCGTCGCGTCGCGCCTTCACCTCGGGGGGCTGCTTGGCCATCGGGGCTGCCTGCGGGGAGCGGAGCGCGGTCAGCGGCCGAGCGCGCCGGGGCCGGCCCGGCCCTCGCCGCTGCCGCCGCCCCCCGCCCTCATTGTTCTGCCGAGCGCGCCCCCGCCCCGGCCCGCGCCCCCGCCCCGCGCCCCCGGCCCCGCTCACGGTGCTGTCGCCGCTGGAGCGGCCCCGGCCGCGGCTGCGCTCGGGTGTGCGCGGGAGCGGCCCCGGCCCCGCTCCGCCCCTGTTTACTGCCCGACACCGCCCCGGCCTCGCTCGGCCCCGGCCCCGCCCAGGCCCGGCCTCAGCACCGCCCTGGCCCAGGCGGCCGCCTAGGCCTCCCCCGTCCCGGCCCCGGCCCCGGCCTCAGCGCCGCCCCGGGCCGGGCAGGCGGCGGCCCGCGGCGCGCCCTTGCACACGCGGGGGAAGGAAAAGTGTCTGCCGGTGTTCGAGTGGGCAGAAATAGTTGGGGAAGTTTGTTAGGAAGAGACATCAGGGGAAAAGTTGAAGACAGGGGACCAGCAGCTCGAAGGTCTGGCCATTAGCTTTCCGCCCCAGAAAAGTGAGGGACAAGGAGAGCTGAAAATCAGGCTCGCTCCTCTTTTCCCAGCCCTCCAACAGAGATACCCACAGCACGGAGCTCCACAAGGCCCCACTTCCCTCACACTTCCCTTGGAGCCAGGGGCCACCCGAGGTTTTTCCCCTTGGCTGGGATCTGCGGAGCACTCTGTGGCAGTGGGGCAGAGCGAGGGGGACACTCTGGAGGCACCAGGGCTGCGGGGACATGGGGCCAGCCAGCAGATGTTGAGTCTATTTTCTCCTCTTGGCTCGTCTTAGTTTCTGCGTGGGTGGCTCACGCGAGCACAAAGGGGACGGGGAACAGCCCGGCCTTTCCAATAGCCAACCTTCAGCTGGCCCTCCTCCTCCTTGCCCCCGGGTTTTTGGAGAGCCAGGACAGGCACCAAGTGCATTTTCCCACCGTGAATCACGGCTCCAGCCTGCTGGAAGAAATCCGTTTCGACGTTATCCTCGTTCCTCGTGTCGTGAGCCATCGCGGAGGAATTTGCACCGAAGCCAATCCCAAAGGTACTTCATTTTTGGCAGTGTGGGCACAGAGTGAGAGAGGGGAAGCTGAAACCTTCCCCTCAACACTGCAGCATCCATCCCCAGCTCCCTGGGAATGCCTCATCCCAGCCCAGCATCCATGTGCAGGGAGCTTTCCCCTGTCCCCCACGTGGAAATGAGGAGGGAGGAGGATAGTTGGGATCCCGTCCTGCCATAGCACTCCAGCAGTGACATCTCCCACCCAGCCTTCCCTCTGTGCCACCACAGAATCACTCAGCTTGGAAAAGACCTCCCAGATCATGGAGGCTAGCCCAATCCCAGCCTGGCTGGAGGGAGCAAACTCCTGACAGTGCCATGAAAACCCCCAGGGAAAACCACCCCCAACCCAGCAGGTGCTCACCAAACCCACTCTGACCTGAACAAAGCACCAACGGAAAAAAATGACACCTTGTTCTCCTTCTCCTCCAACCATGGTGATAAATGTTACTTCACTCGTGCTGCCAGATAAAATCAGGTTTGAGCCTCAAACACGAGGCTGTGTCTGAGCCAGGCTTGGAGCCTGACCTTTACAGTGCTCCCAGTTTCAAACACCAACCCAAAATCAAACCCTGTGTCACCAGCGTGGGGGTGCTTGAACAGCAAAGGTTGGCTGGAGATAACAACAGGTGGGTTTCGTTAGATAAATGTATATTTTAGTTAAAGAAACCACCAAACTCTCTGAGGGAATGTCACTACATGCACAGCAGTGACAGCGATGTGGTGATGAATCAAGTGACAAGAAAGGTCCCATTGTGACCTGAGTAGTCCCTGGGCTGGGCAGGGGGTGGCACTTGGAGTTCCTGCTGCCACCAGTGAATTTGGGACCTCCTAAGGTATATTTCAAATTGGTAATTGTTCCTAATGGGGCAGTGACAGCGCCGTGGGTGAGCCCAGGGAGGGGGAGCAGGACTGCTGCTTCGTTAGCCTGACTAATTACTTCAACGACCTCACACTTTATCCCTGTTAATACCTTCAAAGCCATAATTAAGAATTCTGGCCAGGAATTGCAGGGAGATCGCAGCAGAAAGGGCTGGGTGGTGATGGGCCACCACCAGCAAGGGATGGAGGAGCCCCAGACCCCAGGGGAGGCCCCGGCTCGACGGCAGAGGGTGAAAGATGAGTAAACCTGGGTTTTCTGCAGAAGAAAAGGCAGAGGCACCCACCCACACACCAGGAAATCTCTCCTCTCCGTGTGGGTGGTGGAGGCCCCAAGATGAGTTATCTCTAAAGGGCGACTCTGGGGATACCTCGAGATACTGGTGTGGAGCCAGCAGGGAAATATCACCCTGCCAGCTGGGCTTCAACTCCTGTCTTTTTTAACAGCTTGCTTTAAATCAACAACAGCAGAGCCTGCCTCGTCCATTTCTACCCCTCTCATGAGGTGGTTTCAACCTTTCTCCTCCCTGCTTCGCATGGGATGATGGTGGGATGGGGGCAGGAGCTGGTGGCTGGGACAGGGGGCTGTTTTTAAGGGTGTTTAATGTAAAATAATAGCATTATTAAGGGCAAAGCTGCAGCTAAAAGCTCCATTGTGCTCATAATGCTCTGAAAAGTGCTCTTCCACATATCCCCCTGCATTATATGAGGAACTAAAAATATATAATTTACAATATAGATCTAAAAACGTAAGCCTGGCAGAGATTTTTGGCCTGGCCAGAGAACAGCTGGCTCCAGCGCAGCTCGTAAAAAAAAAATGCAACTAAGGGGAGAAAGGGAACAAAAAAAGCCACCCCCAGCATCCAATGTTTATGTTTCCACCAGCTCCAGTTGATCTCCCTTCTGGTGAAACTGGCTCCAGCTGAGTCAGGCACCAGCTGCTTCACATCAAAGCCCAAGGCTTTTCCACGTGCCACGGGAAGCTGGCTGCTTTCAAGGGGAATCCCAGAAGTTCTGCCACCAGGGCAAGAAGAGGAGCCCCAGCTGCAGGCTAAACACCAAACCCGAGGAGAGCCAACACATCCCAGCTCTTCCTGACCATCCCAGGCTGTACCAGGCTCACCGTGGTTCTCCAGCTGAACAACTTAAGTAGAGGAAAAACACCTCTGAAACAGAAGCAGGAGGGAGAATAAGAAAGGCTGTTGTCTCCCTCCTGTGGGGAGATGCAAAAATCAAATTAATGCCCTCTCCTCCCTCGGGGTAGGAGGGTGGTTGTGCTCCTGAAATATTCCTTTTAAAGGAACACTTTTTTCCCAGAATTATGCCATTACAGGCAAACAAGAGACATTTGTCCTCTGGGTTTCCCCTGAGCTTGAATAATGATGTGGTGGGAGGTCAGAACTGGAAGTGCCAAGGGTGGTTCAGTCCTGTCCAGCTTAGATCTGACCTGCAAACCTCCATTTCCTCCATCCTAGAAATTCGTAAGGAGAGGTAGAGCAGGAAGAGCCCAATCCAAGCACACCCATTGCCTCCCAAACCAACTAACAACCCAAGTCAGCCTATTTTTCCCCTCAAAAAAGCACAGAAAGATGCTGGTCAACCCTGAACCCATTTATTATTTAAAACCGAGTTACTACAAAAAAAAAACAAATTCCACATCCATAAAACCCCAAGTCCTTGGAAGCTGTGCAAACTCAGCCCTTATTTCCGTGAGCGTTTGTGCTCGATGAGCAGCACGACGAGTCTGTTCCGAAGGAACTTGATTTCCTTCATGTAGGACCTGCAGAATAAATCCCTGAGCTTCTGGCGCAGAGCTCCAAGGGAAGGCAGCTTCTGGCAGCTGGGAATATTCAGCAAGCTCTCAAAGAACTCTTTCCACAGCTCAGCATTGGCAAGCCTGCAAAAAGGGACAAAAAAGCATCAAAAAAAGTGCTAAATCCAGCTGTTAAATATCGATTTTTATCCTGCTCCCAGCTAGAAAAGCTGTGGCAGAACCTGACCTCAGAGCAATGTGGTACTGATGTGGGTTTCTAGGAAATCTAGGCAAAGATTTGGGGGATATTTTGAACACCCACCTCCTGAAAGTTCCCTCAGGCTTCCAGACCCCGTTGTCATCCTTGAGGCGCATGTAGGTCCCGAAGAGCATGCAGTACACGGTGGCTGCGATCCCAAAGTAGTCTGTCTGAACCAAAACCACACCAGTTTTGTGTCAAAAAACACACCCAGAGCACTGGAAACGAGCTGAAATCACCCCGTGGAGGGGGAGAGGCTACAGCTCTGGCAGAGTCCAATTCTACCAGAACTGGTGTGCAGGAGGCGCCGAGATTCCAGCCCACCCCTCCTTACCTGGTAGTTCCATGGTTTGTTTGTCAGCATTTCCACGCACTGGAATCCAGATGTTTCACACCTGGCAGTGAAGGCTGTTCCCTCAGGGAAGAGCTTCATGTCGATGCTCTGGCCCAGGTCAATGAGGGTCAGGCCGTGGCACAGCCCATCGATGTCACACGTGTCGTTGTCCAGGAACCTTCAACCACGACAAGAAACAACCCCCTCAGTGTCTCCAGGCTCCCTTGTGGTGACATCTGGGGACAACAGGGGACACTTGCCTTTCTCCCAGGATGAAATTGTCAGGTTTGATGTCCCCGTGGATGATTTTGCAGCTGTGCAACTCCTCCACCATATGCAGGATTTTGACGGCGAAGTAAATGACGAGGGCTTGGGGCATCACCTTCTCTGGGAGCTTCTTGTAAATGTTGATGGCGTTCTGGAAGCCAGACACACACAGAGGAGGGATTAAGGAACAAGCCAAGGAAGGTGAATCAAGTGGAGGGAAGGCTCCAGAGCAGGAGCTGGTGGCACTCACGAGCAGCGTTCCGTAGTTGTGGAGCTCTCCCACCAAAATGCTGCCGTTGGGGAAGAAATGGGCCGAGTAGAAGTGGATGTAGAGGTGGCGAACGCTGGGGCTCAGCCTCTCCACCAGCTGGGTTGCAATGTAGAACTCCCAAGGGTTGGCAGGTTTCTGGACCTGG